TGTCCCAAAAATAAATAAACGTTGAAAAAAAAAAAAATTTAGAGTCAGGGGAGCCGACTCAGAAGCCCCCTCAGACAGGAGCCTGGTCGTGTGAGTGAGGCAGCTGGCCAGCCGGAAACTGTGGAGACCGGAAAATGGTGCCTTTACGGAAAGGAGGTACCCGCTGCTCCACTCCAGCCAATGTCTTGTGCAGGTGAGTCAAATGTAGCTGATCTTTCAGATTTTCCAATAGAGATATGGAATATTTAAATGTGAAACCTTCCAATTTTTAAATGTTGGAAAATTAAAAACAACACTACGTGGGCCACATTTCCTGTCCGTAACCTTTGTTTAGAGCATCTCAAAGGGGCAAAAGAAGCGGTGGTTAGCTTAGCCTGAGACAGGCAGGAAGCTAAGGCGGGCTTTTGGTCCTGTCTGCTGTCTTGAGACTGAGGTCTGTCTCCCCAAGTCCTGTTCAAACAGAATCTTGAGCAGGGTCTTAAGCAGAATCTTAAGCACTGTTAGAGAGACACCGGGAATATGGCCCTCCCTGACCGTTTCCTTCCACGTGCCATCTGGCTTTCTTTTTGTGGCTACCTTCCCAAACAGAACTGGCTGGCTGACAGCATTTCCTTGCTACCCTCTGCTTCCCAAACATGGCAACTGAGAGAATGTCCAGGCTGGAAGGGAACTAGGAGATCATCTACTTGAGCATTTTTGGTCCGGAAAATCACCTCACCCTTGGAGCGCGTTTGAAAATGTTGATCCTTGGCCTCTCCTAGTTCTATTTCCTAAATCAGAATGTCTGGGGGTGGGGAGCATGGAATCCGCATTATTAACAAGCTGTCCAGGGCATTGCGGTGTTTTACTGAAGGCTGAGAACTGCTCATCTAGTTCAACCTTGACTTTCTGATGAAACAGAGTCCCAGAGAGGGGACTAGCTTGTCCATAGTGGGTTGGCAAGAAAGTGAGGGAGGCCCAAGCTTTCAAAGGCAGTGGTCATGAGAGCCCTTACCACTTTGGCTTGTGTACTGTGATTCTAGCAAAATTACCCTTTCCAAGATCTTTAATGCTCTGTCTTCCTAAGGCAAATCCAGTGGTTTGTTGGCCTGGGTGTCTTTATTTCTCCTTATTATCTCTGTGTTGTGCTCTCTGCTTTGAATCTAATGATATTTTGGCTTTGGACAGTTGAGTGGGAAATACTGGCAAGACATCCAAGTGGCCAATTTAGTGGTGGCACCCAACCAAGGGTGAAAGGTCAAGGATTTGCATAGAATCTGGAGACAGGAAGAAAGGATCAAAGAACACTGAGTCCTGGGGAGCTTGCTGCAGTCCAGAAGGAGACAGGAGACCTCAGAGAGAATCTAATTAATGTTGTATCGCCCAAACGAAGCAACCAGAGAAAGAAGGAATGGTATGCACCCTAGAGAATGAGTTCGCATCTGATAATAACCTTCACCTTCTTACCTACCAGACTCAGTATATTGATTTAACCCCAGGATCAGCACATCTTCTGCTACAATGTTTTAACAGGTATTACAGGTAAGTCTCCTGAAGAAATCTTACCCATTTCAGGGGATGTACTAGGCACTGATCTCCTTACTTGATTCAGCATTTAGCCCATGTGCAACGGGTAAGATGCCTTGCTAGACACTAGAGGTGGAGAGAGGGTATGGCAAGGCCCACCTTTAGCAGAGCCAAGGCAGGGCAGATATCAGTGCAGATCAATTACAGCACAGTGACGTCAGTGCCCCATTAGAAGTCACCCCACTGTGGAAAGAGGAGAGACTTTCCAAAGGAGGTGATGACTGAGCTAGGTTTAAGAAAACAAATAATATTCAAGTTGTAATAGTGTTTGTTCCTGGACTTATGTTGAAAGTGAATCATTAAGCAGAACTTAAAGAAAACGGCCTGGGTTATATTGGTCACTTTTTGATGACAAAGGGTGAGGGTGTAGAGGAAGGGCAGGAGCGTGGATCCAGATTCTGACGCAGTAAAAGGCGGTCCTTCATATCCTCCTAACTTGCTGTCCAGAGTCACGTAGCCACAAAAGCCACAGAAAGCAGACTGTTTCGAGTGATAAAATATCGAAAGAGATAATAAATGTTTTAATGAAGGAGAAGAAAAAGGCTTAGAAAAGTGGCAGGTTTGCTGTTTGATTCACAAATTCTACAGACAGCACCTCTGCCTCCTTTCATAGACTCTTGCGATGGTGTGTGTTTTCTCTTGATTTTTATAAGGTGGCTGTAGGTGGCAGGGAGCTGATACTGGAGGACCAAGAACAACATCCAGAGTATATTATTTTTCAATATAAATTTGACAACCTCACATTTGCACATATGCTATGGGAAAAACTCCCTTCTCTTGAAAGAGTGAACTTCATGGAAATGATTCTGTTCATTGGAAATCAAAAATGAAGCATCTCAACATTTAAATCTTATTTGGTTTTACGTCTTTGGCAATTTCAACGAAGCGCATTAGTCCGGAAAGACCCCCGAAATGGGAAGCACCAGACTGTGGGATGAAAATCTGGCTCTGACTTAGAGCAAGTCATTTAACCTCCCTAAGCCTCAGTTTCCTTCACTCTGCGTTAGGAATGGCAGCATCTGCCCTAGCCGGCCTGCTAGGATGTCATCAAAACCAAAGTCCAATTTATTGTAAGGAATCCTGCGTCTTAAGCATGTTTAGTGTCCCAAGCAATATGCTAAAACTTCCTACGTGTGATGTCATTTTGTCCTCACAGTAACACTATGTATATGGGAGTTTCTATCATCGTTCCATTATACAGATGAGGAAGCTATGGTTTAGAGAGCTTAGGTCACTTGTCCAAGGTCACACAGCAATGAGAGTGGCAGGGCCAGTACTTGAACCTGACTGTGTCTTCCTCTAGAGACTGAGCTCTTAGCCCCTACATAATGCTGCCACTCCTCTCTCATCTTAAAGCCAGAAAATGAACTTGAAAGCACATCACAGCTGGAGAAATACTGTCCAGGATTATTTGTGTTTTTCAGCAATGACTGTGGTGCGGATGGGGATGAAGAGAAGACAGGAGATGAAAGTGACGTTCCCTACCCCCAAGAACCTCCATTCGTTTTACTTATCCATTATAACCAACTCCTCATCCTCATTTGCAACTAGTATCAGGGCAGATGCATCCAGATGCACATACAGGTTTTCCCCCACTTCCAAAAGTAGAGGGGCCCTATGAAACCTTTCCTAAGCCAAAATGGTGGTAAGTGAAGAAGCAATTACCATTAATTTATATGGAAATTTTTTTTGAGTATTCCCAGACCAAAAAAACAACCTTTCTTAGGCTTTTCTGACACCTTAGGACACATCCTGCTAACGGATGCAGAAAATCAATTGAGACAGAGCGGAGATGTTCCCAGACGCAAGTTTTGGCAGCATGATGCCGAGATGCTGAGTGTAGCTCCTGGTGGTGCCACTCTCACTGCTCAGGGGGGTGTGCTGCCTCTATAACGGCTTTCTTTCAGTCATCAAAAACAGATACTAAAGTTGGTCCTTCATGAAAGCAAAGTGGCTGTAACATGAACTTTCAAAAGTGGGGATATTTGTAACAAGAAAGGCTAATACCATTGGGACATTTATTGTTTGTTTAAAAAGAAATAAGGAACCAGATAATTCCAGTTTCACAATATGAAGACTGTGGCCTGTCATCTCTATAATTCCCTTGGTCTTGTACTCATGCTCACAGAATGGCTGCCGCAGTTCCAAACATCACATGTCTCTAATGAGATGTATTTTCAAAAACCAAGAAACAGACAGCTAGCTTGGGTAATGAATGAGTACTCCTATATGCTGATCTCCTTTTTCCAATAAAAGAAAATGTATTGGAAAGGGAAATATCCATCTAGAAACTGCACAGTGCACTTTCCTACATCTCATTAACTAGCACGGGATTGCATAGCATATTAGAACAGTCCAGGCGAAGCTTAGGTAACAAGTAAACCCTGAAATCTCAGTGGCTTAACACAATATAGGTTTACTTCTTGCTCACCTCACAATTTTTGTGAGCTGGTGGCCCTCCTTTGTCTTGTGGCCAAACCCCTGGGACCATGAGACCCAGGGAAGGGAAAGAGGGAGGAAAGTGAGGGCACCAGCTCTTAATTGCATGAAACTGGGACGTACTCTGTTCATATTCCTATTAGTTGAACTTGATCTGATGGCCCACCTGCAAGATGTCTAGGAAGGACAGTTGGCCCCACAAAGGAAACAGTGTGAAGAACACAGAGCATTGTGTTTTCCTAAAGGCCCCCCTGATGCCAGAGAAGGAGAGGCTTGGGAATGGCTGCTGGGTGGGAATCTGCCACCAGGTCTCATGTCCATCTGCTCCCCCCATCAGTGTTCTCTGGGATTCCATGATTCTTATGCCTTTCTTCCATTGCCCTTTCCTCCCAGTATTATGATTACCTTTCACTTGCCTGTCATTCTCTCCCTCCATCTACTCCACCCCCAACAAACTGTGAGCTTCTTAAGGTCAGAGGTTGGGTCATCATCCCTTTCCATCTCTTATGCCCAGACTAGGGTCTGGCACGTAGTAGGTGCTCAATAGATGTTTTTAGACCAAGTGAATGAGGGCCTTTTAGAAACAGCTGTTTGACTGTCTTTAAGAAATACCTGGCTTATCCCTAAATACCTAAACTTTAGAATTTGCAGAAGAATCACTGAGGAACAAGAAGTATGATTCAGCCCTTAAACAAACATGGGTGCGAAAGATAATGCAGAGCAGACTTCAAGAATGTGACCATAAATCAAGTAAATATTTGATCAATGACGTCAACAAACGTAAAACATTTCTTTAAGGAAATTGATTTTTGGAAACTCATTTAGAAATACCTTCAGTCTGGTCTTGGGACATTAACCCAAACTACATCTCCAAGGTTGGAAATGTTGAATATTCCCTGAATGCCCAGAGAAGACGTCACAGGGATGGTGGTTCAGGTGGGGGGTGGGGGATAAAAATATAGGGTATTTTGATATATACTCTTTAAGAAACTTAATTAAGGAAGCCAAGTAAGTGAGGCATTTCATCAGCAGGGATTATCACCACCATTATAGTTGAAATGTATGAGGACCATGTGCCAGATATTGTGCTAAGGACTTTATGTGCATTATCTGATCTGATGGTCTCAACAGTGCCATGAGGCAGGTCCTATTGTCATGCCCATTTTACTGATTGGTATAGTAAGGCTGAGAGAGTTTAATAATTTACCCAAGATGATGTAGCTGCAGACAGATTGTTGGCAAAAATTGAGAATCAGGCTGTCTGGTTCCAAAGCCACTTTTAACCATTAAGCTTTAGACTTGCTCCCAGATTCAAAGTACTGGAAGATTTGGCAGATGTTTCGCTTATCATTACTGTGTAACAACACAGCCCTAAACCTAGTGGCTTAAAACAAACATTTATTACTACCTCTCATGGTTTTGTGGACTGACAGGGCCAGCTGGGTGGTTCTCTCTTGAAGACGCTTTTATAATTTTAGATAATCTCGTGGCCAGCTTCAGGAGTCACACGGTGTCACCTCTACTGCACCTACCGCTTAGAAATAAGACTCAGGACCAGCCAAGACTCAAGGGGAGATGCCTACACACTAGAGAATGAGTACCAGGAAGCATCCCTCCCCGGGGCCATCTGGGAGACTGACTTCCCTCATGGACAAATGCGCAAATACGAAGCGTCCTGCGCAGGTGTGCAGGAACTGACTTCTTCAAAGGGACTTTCACACCCACTTCTCATTTGATCTTTCATAGCCTGTGAGGCAAGCAGGCCAAGGGCAGGACTTGATTTCTATCTTATAGACATGGACACTGTTGTTCATTGAAATTAAGTAACTTATCAGAGGGGCGCCTGGGTGGCTCAGTCGGTTGAGCATCCAACTTCAGCTCAGGTCATGATCTCACGGTCCGTGAGTTCTAGCCCCGCGTTGGGCTCCATGCTGTCAGTTCAGAGCCTGGAGCCTGCTTCAGATTCTGCGTCTTCCTCTCTCTCTGCCCCTCCCCTGCTCACGCTTTGTCTCTCTATATCAAAAAACAAATAAACGTTAAAAAAATTTTAAGTAACTTACTAGAAGTCATACAGCTTCTAAACGTGGGTGTGAACTTTGGTCTTCTGAGGCCCCCCCCACCAGCAGAAAGTAATCAAGGGGAAGTAATCATGGATCTAAATTCAAAAAGAAAAAGTATATCAAAGTTGTAAGAGTTTTAAAACATGACAACACCTATTGTAATAGCTGATGCAGGAATGAACACAGATCTCCAATTTGCAGGAGCATAAGTTGGTACGTTTCTGGGTATATAATAGATGCCAAAGCCTGAGAGTGTTACAAAATCTTTGACCCAGAAATTCCACATCTAGAAAATTTTCTTAGGAAATAGTCATGAATATGGACAAGTATTTAGTTATTAGGATGTATTCTGTAGTAGTTTTGTTATTAGGGAAAAATTAGAAATAATCCCAATGTGTAACAAGAGGAGTTCTGCTGAACAATGGAAGGCCATTCTGCTATGAAATTAATGTTGTGGGAAAATATTTAATGCCACATATCAATGTGTGCAACATTCCTTATGGGAAAAAGCAGATTTATAAAGTGTATTATAATGTGCCACTTTTGTTTTAAAACATACATGGGTCCATACACACAGAAAAAAAGACAAGGAAGATATAATACCAAAATGTTAGTAGTAGTTATTTAAAGACAGTGAGATTATAAATCATTTTTCCTTTAATTTAATTTTTTCTCTATTTTTAAAAATTGCTTATAGTGTAGGTTGCTTTTGTAACAAGTTTTATTATTTAAAAAAAAGGTTTTTTTAAAATATTTATTTATTTGAGAGAGAGAGAGAGAGAGAGAGAGACAGAGTGTGAGCAGGGGAGGAGCAGAGGAAGAGAGAGACACAGAATCTGAAGCAGGGTCCAGGCTCTGAGCTGTCAGCGCAGAGCCTGATGTGGGGCTCAAATCCATGAACCACGAGATCATGACTTGAGCCCAAGTCTGAGGCTTAACCAACTGGGACACCCAGGCACCCCAATGCAATGAGTTTTTAAAAAGGGAAATAAGAAAGGGAGTTAGGAAAATATGGAAGGTATTAAGCTAATTTCAACAAACCAAATGGAAGATATACAAAAGAATAATATGATACTTTACATTTAACTCTTCAAAGTGCTTTTTAATTCAAGGTCTAACTTGGTATCTACAACAACTCTGTGAGGACGGTTGGAGACCTATTATCTTTATTTTGCAAAGGAGGCAAGTGAGGCTCTAAATGGTGAAGTCTGTAGGGTAACCCAGCTAGTTAGTGACAAAAACAGAACTAGAGTCTGGCTCTCCCAGGTGGTTCATGGACTTGAGATGAAGTCATAGCAGCAGATGCTCAGTCACACACTTTGTCCCCTGCTGCAGATTCCCCC